AAGTATTCACTGGGCCTCTACCATGTGCTCCCCGACATGCGAAGAGCTTGGAGGAGCAGGGGTGGTCAATGGTGAGCAAAAGAGACAAGGAGCAGCCCCTCACAGAGCTTCGGATCTGCTGGGGAGATAAATACCATCAAATACTCATCAATGTGTGTAAAAGGGGAAGGAAGGGAGGTGGCTAGATACCACCCTGGCCATCCTGTGCCCACAATCTATACCATGTGCACGCACACAGACACCCCACGCCTCTCGGCAGACTGTCGGCTGAGCCCGCTGTGGCCACTGGTCCACTGCCCTGGATTCTTCTCACCCTGTTTTTACCAGGCTGACCCCCTTATACCTCTGTTTCTCTATAGATGAGGGGATCCCTAAGCTTAGGAGCTGAGGCTTGCTCCCCTGCAGTTTCAGTAGGCCCTTGGTAAATGTTTACCAAGTGAATTAATCACTAGATAGGTATGTGGGCCCTTAGTAAAGCTGGAAGCTCCCTGAGGACACAGGTTGCCTTATTAATCTCCAATCCCAGCACTAAGCACAGGGCCTAGCCCAGAACAGACCTCAGTAAATGTCTGTTGAATGACTTAATGACCCGACATATGGCCCATATGTCCTAGCTAGACTGGAACTTCTCTCAGGGCCAAGAGGAGGGTGGTCCTGGGTCCTGGAGAGGGCCTGCCCTACAGAAGCTTCTCAGTGCATGTTGCTAGATGAATGAACGTGTGGCCCCAGGAGATACCAGCTTCTCGGCCTCTCACCATAATTCAGTACCCAGCCTCCTCACACCCTCTCACCTGGCACATCCATAACCCGGCCCTCCACATTGGGGATGACCCCAAGCTTGGAGTCAAACGGCACGCTTGGGTCCACAGGACGGCTCTTATACCCAACGCTGCTGAGCACCAGCCCACAAGGGAGGTCTTCCATGTCTCCCGTGGGCACTGCACGGGTGGCCTCACCGACACCCTGTTGGGGAGAGTGTGGGCAACACCAGGCTGGGGTGGCAGAGGCCTGGGAAGGGGGTGTCTTTGGGAAACGTGAGACTCACCTCCAGTCTAGTGACTGCCAGGCGGACACCTGCCGCCCGCCGCCCATCTGGTGAGGGCAGCACCTGCTGGGGGCTTCGGAAAAAGCGGAGGCCCCAGGCACGGGAGGCTGATGCCCGGCGGGCAGCCTCCTCCGGCCCTGGCTTCTCCGTGGCCGTTCGAAGCAGCAGTTCTGTCAGCCGCTTCCTTGGGCGGGGGACCTCTGTTGGCAACGTAGAATGTCTCCAGGCTGTCCCTGGGCCCCAGCCCTCTCCCTGCACACCCTTCCCCAGTCCCTGTCTGACCTAGGCCACCCTCCCCCTAGTATTTGGGGGGCCAGGCCAGGGTCCCTCACCCTTGATCTTGTCCTGGAGGCCCAAGAAATCCGCAGGATCCAAAATGGGCCGCGCTCCCGGTAACTGAATCATCTCCCGAAGCTCCTTGAAGATGGGGGCAGGGAAGGGGGAGGAGGTCAGGCCCGGGACACAGTCCACCTCACTCCACCCCAGGGTCCAGCCCAGGCAGGAGAGACCTCCCCTCTTCCCTGAAGGCACAGGGCCCCCGGGGCCCTGGCTGCTCCCCTTCTTCCATCCCAGGCAGCAGCTACTCCCAGGGGCTCTGCCCCACCCCTGCTCCTTAAGGAGAGGCCCCCTCCACTTGGAACCCTGGCTCCTCCCACTCTGGCCCCAGCACCTTAATGGTGAAGGCCACTTGCAGGGGTCCACGCCGGCCCACTAGCCACACTGTCTTCACTCGACTCTGCCTCAGTACACCCAGGGCTGCCTTCGTGATGTCCGTTCTCTGGCACAAAAGGAGGGCCTTGGAGTCATCAGACACTGACCCAGGAAAGGGCACTCTCCATTTGGTCATGTCCCCACCGTGGGCCAGAAGGCTGGCGGCCCAAAATTGCACCACTGCTCCCCCCTGGTGGCCAGATGGAGCATTGCTGCCAACTCTGCAAATGGCTCCAACTAATAGCACACCAGACCCACACGGTCATTCAACAAGTATTCACTGGGCCTCTACCATGTGCTCCCCGACATGCGAAGAGCTTGGAGGAGCAGGGGTGGTCAATGGTGAGCAAAAGAGACAAGGAGCAGACCCTCACAGAGCTTCGGATCTGCTGGGGAGATAAATACCATCAAATACTCATCAATGTGTGTAAAATTGCCGTGGCGATAACAGGCTGTGAAACAGAAGCAGACGGGGCTATGGGAGGAGGCATGATGGGGGAGTGGACCAATTCAGGGACGTTCTGGTGGAAAGGACAACTGAGCCAAGATCTCAAAGGTGAACTTTAGCTGTTAACTGGTGGGAGGTGAGTGGGGATGATCCAAGCAGGGGATGGTGTGAGCAAGGGTCCTGTGGCATACTGAAGAATAAGAGAAAAACACCACTTAGCTGGAGTGCAGAAAGTGAAGGGAAAATGGTAGAAGAGGAAGCTCATGGCACTGCCCTTCAGAGGGCCTCTGCCTGGGCACCACAGGGAAACAGAGGCACTGAGTCCAGCTTGGAGAGGTGAGGCCTGAACCCTGCAGACAAGGGCACTCTCTCCTCAGGGTGACTCCACCTCCACCCCCCCCAGCCCCGACCTAACACTCACCTCCAGGTGCTCAGGTGGGGTCAGTAGGATGCGGGCCACATCCAGAGCTACGTTCCCCTGCCCCAGAATCACGGCTGTGTCACAGCTCAAGTCTGGCTCCAGCTGGAGGGGAAAGGTCTCGATAGGGTCCCCCGGCCTTGCTCCACTCAGCTCATCTCAGTCTGCAGGTGCCTCACGCCTGGTCCCCACTGTGCCCTGGGGCTTCCCCACACTGGTAAAGTCCACAACTCTGGTCCCTCCTCCCCCACCTGGACCCAGCTCTCCCCCAAGGTCCTCCACAGCTGGCCTCCCACCTCAGTCAGCATGAGGTCACATCTCGCCATTGAATGGCAGCTCCCTCCCTCTTTCCCCAGGGCTGGCATTAAAAGGCTGAGGGACGGGGAGGAAGAGGCAGCAGGCATGCTCCCCAAACTCACCTCCCGGTTCTCAGGAAGCCCGTTGTACCAGCCCACGAAGGCCCGGGCGGAGCACACACCTGGCAGCTCCTCACCAGGGATTTCCAGGGCCCGATGGTCCTCTGCCCCGTAGCTCTGATGAAAGATGGCAGGCCCGAGACCCACAGCCCTCAACACCAGCACTGATGGGCCGGGCAGCCCCCCAGGCTCCCAGTGGCCTCCTTCCAGCTTCTCCTCAGCAGCTTGCATCCTGGCCTCACCCCTGCTGCCTTCCACCTCCAGCCACCAGTCCCCTTCTGCAGCCCCTGCCTCCCCGACCTAGGGCCTAGCTGCACTCACCAGCACCACAGCATGGTAGGCCTCCCGCAGCTCCGGCACCGTCACGTCCCTGCCCACCTCCACGTTGCCCCAGAAGGCACAGCGGCCAGAGTGGGCCGTCTGGGTAAATGTGTTGATGACATTCTGCCAGGTCCCCCGGGAATGGGAGGGGTTAGAGGGTGAGGTAGCTCCAGGGTCCACGTCTGCACCACCCTCACCACTCTGTGTCCCCAGGATGAAAGCTGGGTGGCATCGGCACAGACAGCATGAAGTCCTGTCATCCAGCCAGGGAGCCTCCCTGCCCTCCTCCTCTTGACCAAAGCCTCCAAACCCCAGCCTCCAGGCCCACAGAGACCCACCTTCACCTCGGGGTGATCAGGCGCCACGCCAAAGCGCACCAGGCCAAAGGGCACGGGCTGCTTCTCGTAGATGTCCACGTGGGCCTGGGGGTGCTGCTGGGAACAGGGTGGCAGCTGGTGGGGCTGAGAGAGAGGCTGGGACCCCCCAGGTCCTCCCCTTCCCCAGACAGAGCAGGAGAGTTCAGGACTCTGGGCTGAGAACACAAGGTTTCCACCCTCTGCAAGGAAAAAGAGCACTCACTCCCCGCGGCGGCTCGCGCCTGTCAGCCCAGCACTTTGGGAGGCTGAGGCGGGTGGATCACCTGAGGTCAGGAGTTTGAGACCAGCCTGACCAACATGGTGAAACCCCGTCTCTACTAAAAACACAAAAATTAGCTGGGCATGGTAGTAGGCACCTGTAATCCCAGCTACTCAGGAGGCTGAGGCAGGAGAATCGCTTGAACCCGGGAGGCAGAGTTTGCAGTGAGCCAAGATCGCGCAACTGTACTCCAGCCTGGGTGACAGAGCAAGACTCTGTCTCAAAAAAAAAAAGAAAAGAAAAGAAAAAAGGAGACGGCCAGCCTTTGGAGATGGGGAGAAATGTGGCCAGCTGAGGAGGCTGTGGCTTCCCCCAGGTGGCATTGTATCAGGGCGGCTTCTTGATCTTCTCAGGTCAAGCGCAACCCACAGCCCTGGCCTCCAACCCTTCGACACTTGGGACCCTCAGGTCCCAGCCAGTCTGAGGACCTGAGGGCCACCCTCCAAATTCACAGGTGCCTTAGCTCTAGTGCCCAGGACCACGCTCTGGGAAAAGGGGAGCAGCAGGACAGGGAGGGGGCAGAGCTGGGGATTCATGGGGAAGAGAGGTGGAAATGGGCCTGCTCCCAGTCTTAGAGAGACAGTCTCAGGCAGTGGTTCTGCGCTGACCGCCTTCCCGGGGCACCTCGAGAGGCCATGTGGAAGGCACAGGGTCGGGGGTCCAGCAGGCAAGTCTGGTCTGGCTCTGCCACCAACCAGTCACATGATCCCAGCAAGTCCCAGGGCCTCCCCAGGTCTCAGTCTCCCCCTCTGCACACTAGGACGGATGACAGCTCCCTCTCACAGCTGCTGGGAAGCATCAGGAGGTCAGGGTGGTGGGACTCCGGGCCACAGGCCGGTTAGCAGTAAAGCAGTTAGGGGTGCTACGGCTGACACGCCCAGCCCCCCATCCTATCATAGGTCCTCACTATGACACCTCCAGCTTCACTGGGACTCAAGGCAAATAAGCCCCTGCCCATCAGTCTCCCTACCCACAACTAAGGCTCCCACCCACCTCCTCACCTTTGCCCAAATCCCCTCTTCCCCTCCACTCCCCTGCCTGCACCCAAGTCCACCCTCCCCCACCTCCTGCCTCTCTCCATCCCAGGCCAGCCACAGGGGGCTCCCCAAACCACCTCCCTCAAGGCCCACGATGTTGTACCCACAAAGCGCTCCCAGCTTGGAGTCAAACAGGTAGCCTTGGGTGCCAATCCCAGCTCCAGCACTAGCTGGCTTATGGCCTGGGCAAAGTTTCTTCTCTGTCCAAAACAAGATCCCTGCGGCGTCCTGCTCAAGGTTAAATGAGTAATCAGGCAGCCCGGGGTGCAACCTACTCTGAGTGTTCAATCAAGAAGGGAGCTATCATTACTATTCTGTTGTTGTATGTCACTGCCTTGCTCAAAAATCTTCGCTGGGGCCCAGTGCCACAGCATAAAGTTCAAACTGCTCGGCCTGGAGGTCAACACCTCACCCAACCGACCTCTCTATCCTTATCTTCCATTCTTTCCTGTGACGGATCCTTCCCTCTGGGTCACGTTGTCCTCTCCAGGGCCACCTCCGGAACACTAAGTCTGCCAGATATTCTTACCCCTTATCTCTCGTGGCTGACCTCATCTTCCAGGTTTCCTTCCTTCCTCCCTCCCTCCCTCCCTCCCGTCCCTCTAGCTGCTCCCCGCTAACAAGGACATTCTCTGAGGTTCTTCCGATGTGGCCCCCCTTCCTCCTCCCTGGGGATTTAACCCACTCCCTCCTGCAACCCCAAATTCCCTTTAACTTGCTGATGACTTTCTACTCTCTCTCTCTCCTGCCGAGACATCTTCCCAAGCTCCAAACCTGAGACCCCTGGATGTCCCACCCCAGACATCTCAAATCCATCCAGATTTAAGCCAAGTCCCCTTGCCCCAAACTGCTCCCCTTCTGCTCCTGTTCCCTCGACCCCATCCACTCAGGGCCCAAGCTGGAACTTGGGGCTCCTCCCTGACCCCCCACCTGATCCCATCAATCCCCTATCCTCCCAGTCCTCTTCCTCACTACCACCCCAGCAGCTCCCCACTGCTCTCTGGCCACCAGCCCTGCCTGGACCTACCCTGCAGGCAGAGGGGCATCCTGAAGGAAATCAGCACCCTGAAAACTCTCCAGTGAAGCCAACCACCTACAGTAGTGGGCACAGGAATCCTTTAGGGTGTTCAACATTGCTGACTCTTGGGCCCAGCCACAGAGTTTGATTAGGTCCGAGCTAGGCCCAGAAATGTGTATTTTGATAAGATGTCCCAGGAGACTCTGATGGGGGAAGAGGAGGCAGCTATGGACACCTCCCAGAGAAACCTGCCTCCAGAGCCTGGTCAGTGGCTTCCAAGCCCCCCAGGATCTGGGTCCTACCTACCTCTCGGCCTCGGCTCTCACCTCCTCATTCCTTACTGCACACACACACCTTCCAGAACTTGCCCTTTCCCCAGAGGGCCATTCTCTTCCTCTTTGTTCACACGGTTTTCTGTGCCTGGGACACTCCTGCCATTGTCCCCCAACCTGACATCTACTGCCCTTCAGACTGCAATTGGGACATCTCTTCCTCCAGACTGGGCATGGACCCCCTCCCCGCACCCCAGTCTCTGTGCTTACAGCCGTCAGAGCCCTAAAATACCTTGTAAATTATCCACCGGTCCCCCCGACATTCGAATGTCAGGTCCTCGAGCACAGGGACGTCTGTCCTGCTCACCCCCATGTTCCCAGTGAAGCCTGTGCCCAGAACATGTTACGTCCAGTAAATGGTTACTGAATGGACGAACATGGATGGCCTCGCACGGAGCTGCCTTCGCTGAGACCCCAGTGCCGTCCCTGCTCCGCAGTGGAAGCTTGGACAACCTCACTCAGCCCTGGCATCCTTACCTGTGAAGCAAGAGGCATGACACCTGCTTTGCAGGTTGTCATGAGGATGCTACGAGATGCTGTGCTCAGTGCCTGACTCAAGCTAAGTGCCACTGTCCCAAACGTGCTGCACATGGTCCTGTCTTAGGAGCACAGCCAGTAGCCTGGAGCTCCCTGTGGGCAAAGATCAGCCCAAGGATCAGAACAAGGGTTGTAACTGGCCTGAGCCCCTCCCCATCCCATTCCACAAGGAAAGCATGCACGTGTCTGCCAGCTGAGTACAGTCGTGCCAAGAACACTGCCTGGCCGGGCGCGGGGACTCATGCCTGTAATCTCAGCACTTTGGGAGGCCAAGGTCAGGAGTTCAAAACCAGCCTGATCAACATGGTGAAACCCTGTCTCAACTAAAAATACAAAAATTAGCTGGATGTGGTGGTGTGCGCCTGTAACCCCGTTACTCAGGAGGCTGAGGCAGGAGAATCGCTTGAACCTGGGAGGTGGAGGTTGAAGTGAGCTGAGATTATGCCACTGAACTCCAGCCTGGGTGACAGAGCCAGACTCCATCTCAAAAAAAAAAAAAAAAAAAAAGAGCACTGCCTGGAAGGCTTACTCTCCCCGCTTCCAAAATTTCAGGCTCAGCTAACAAAATGTCCCTTATACGAAGCCCTTCAGGGCCTCTCCGGCCCCTGTGTGCTCCCTGATTTCCATCCCAGAGCCCAGGCTGTCCTCCCTCCCCCGTGGCAGCGTGCCCATGGCCTTGCATTCCAGGATGACTCCCCACATGTGGGAGGCCCTTGCCAAAGCCCTTGGTCTGCTTCAGTGCAGCTCAAATGCACTCTCTCTTTTTTTTTTTTTTTGAGACAGAGTCTTTCTCTGTCGCCCAGGCTGGAGGTGGCTCAATGCCACCTCTACCTCCTGGGTTCAAGCGATCCTCCAGACTCAGCCTCCTAAGTACCTGGGACTACACACATGTGCCACCACGCGTGGCCAAATTTTGTATTTTTAGTAGAGATGGGGGTTTCACCATGTTGGCCAGGCTTGTCTCAGACTCCTGACCTCACGTGATCCACCTGCCTCGGCCTCCCAAAGTGCTGGGATTACAGGCATGAGCTACCTGGGCTTCCGGCCCAGGAAACAGTTTCTGATTGACCCCACCTGCCTCGGCTCACGCTGCCCACACTATTGTAATTAGCTCTTTCAGCTGTGTTGCCTGGGAAGCATGCATGGGTCACTTTTCAGCAGAGTGATCAGCTCATCCCGGTTTCCCAAGAACCTTCAGCTAGCGCTGAAGTCCCTTGTCCTAGGCAATCCAGGCCAGTTGGTCACCCTACATTTCGTGTGTGTGTTTGTGTATAATTAAGATATTCATCCTTTCTCCTATCTCCACGGACACTCCAAGCCTCTCCAAAGCTAGGCAATTGTCTCATGTCTCAGTTAACCTGGGTATCCCTTCTCTACTCTGTCCCAAAGTCTGATGTGCAGTCTCAAGTATAGCCTGTAGACTTAGCTTGGGGCCCTTCCTGCCAAGGCGGACGCTGAAAGCCTTGAGATCCTGGCCTTCACAGGGAAAGGGAGAGGGGCAGAGGGCAGGCTGAAATAACAGAATGGCATGGAGGACTGGAGCTATGGGTGAGGAGGGCATCGCAAGGCAGGTAAAGTTACAGAAAGCAGAGGAGGTGGGTAGCCTCGAGATGCAGGATGTTTGGGACAGAGTGAAGACAGAGGAGAAAGGAGGGAAGATAAAGGAGAACAAAGTCATTTTGCAGGTCTACATAAACCCCCTGGAGTGCTCGGCCAGGGAGGCAAAGCTGACTACCTGCCACTGACCACTCACCACCAATGTGTGTTTTATACCTCTCTCACACTGAGGACACGAGGGGAGGGGAGCCTCAGGTGTAGGTGAGGAAGCACGTGGGAAGTATCCAGGCCAGATGGCTGGGAGCCCCTTCCCCATCAGGCATCCAGGAGTGCTCCTAAAACCCAAAGAGGGTGAGCCTTGCCCTTAGGACTGGAGCAGCAGGTGAATGATGGACTATGAGTAAGTGGTTTACCTTTAGCAGGTGTTGGGCTGTGTAGAAGCCAGCAGGGCCACTGCCCACCACACAGATCTGAGGGGTCTTCTCCTGTGTGGATAAATGGTGGCGGAAGCCTGGGGCCAGGCAGAGGAGAGGGAAAAGGTCAAAATTAACTTCTCTCCCCAGTCCCAAACCAACCTGAATATCCAACAGAAGCTGGAACTTCCCAAGCTTCACCCTCACCTGCATCCTCCTTCTCTTGTTCCTCAAGGCTGTGGCATTTGAGGGTCTCTTACTTCATCTGAACCCCCAAAGGCTGTGTGTTCATCCAGAGCCTCACATCTCACCCATGAATCTACTACACCACTGCCAATGGCCTGCCCAATAACACTTCATTCTCTGTCCAATCCGCTGGAATCCCACATCCTTCCAACGGCCTCCACATCATCCCAATCTCGCCCCCGTGGGTCTCCCCACAGTGTCCCTCCTCTAACCTCTCTCTCCCTCCACAAAACGCTATATTGCCCATATAGACCCGTCTTATTCCTACAGATCCCTGTTTCGACTCAGACTTCGCCTCTCGCCCCACAGACCTCCGTATCACTCCCCATTCACCCCGTCTCACACCTGTGGATCTCAAAGTCTCTCCTTTTCACCTTTGTTGACCTCCGTCTCTCACCCTAGGAGCCTCACATCTCACGCACAGATCTCCGCCCACCCCCGTACACTACCGCGATCTCGCTAGCAAGAAGACACTCCTTCAGTCTCATCCCTCTCCAGCCCTGCCCCAGCTCGGCTCCGACCCCTGCTCAGCGCTCGCAGGCCTCCCCGCCCTCCCATCCAGCCCCAAAGGCGCCCTGCTCCTACTCGGGGTGCTCCCGGCGGGAGGCGGCCGGGTCCGAGGCCACGCCGACCAGCCCCACCAGCGCCAGCAGCGCGAAGCCATGGCTGGGAACAGCAACCTGCAAGCGGATCCGGTCCTGGCTACTGCCCCGCAGTGCAAGCCCGCCCCTGCCCGGGCCCGCCCACAAGCGAGGCCCTGCCCCTAACCCCGCCCCCCGCGCTCCGGGAAGGCAGAGCGTTGCGGCTCCACCCCTACTCTCAAGAGAATCCCGCCCCCAAAAGAGAGACCCGCCCTTAACTACGCCCCACCGTGGAAGCCCCGCCCCTCAGAGCATCCGGGGTATACGCGATTTAATACATTTCTCCCCAAGCCTCACCTTCCCCCCAAATCCCGGAAGCCTAGAAGACAGCGAATCTCCATTGCTGTTTCAGTCTTTTCCCAAGGAAATAACCAATTAGAAAGGAGCCTATTTTACTTAGCCGCGCCCCCTCGGGAGGCTCTCGTCGCTCGCTGATGACGCATACGCCCGTGCCATTTGATAGCGAATCCTCCCGCGTGACTTCGTTCCAGCCAATCATTAGTCCGGCTCCAAGCCAGCCTTCCCGCCTTTGGGAAATAACCCGAGTGCGGAAGTCCGGAACAAGGGAGCTCCCGTGCGGAACCCAGCAGCTTCGGTCTTGGACCCCGGGTGTTGTGCCGAGGTAATCCCTCATATCCCTGTCTTTGTCGGGCCAGGGAGAATATTAAACCCTGGAAAGCTCGTCCCACCTCACCTCCTTTCCTATTACATAGGTGAAGAAAAGGGGGGCGTGGCAGTGTACTAGTACCTATGGTACTAAGTACAGAGCCTCCGACCCCCGTGCAGCCGTGTCGGGACCAGGGTTGAGGTACTCTCCTCGGGTTCAGAATTTAAGGGGGCTCCAAAACACTCAGTAATCAAGATAAATATAATACCGCAACGTTTTAAAAGGTCAAAATTAATGCAACAAGTCTATGACCAAAATATTTTTTAAAATCAGAACAGGATCCGTAGTCACAGCTGACCCAATAAACCTAATCCCTCTTCCTTTTCCCCATGGGCCTTCTTGTCAAACATTACTTCCTTGGAGAAGCCTTTTCTCTGACCCGTCCCCTCCCAAGTTCCAAGGAGTTAAAGCTTCTCATTCCACAGCATCCGACCTTTCCGCATCATGACTTACACTGTCGTTTTTAACGAGATTTTAAATTCAAGAATAACATACAGAAAAGTGCACAAATCATAAGTGTACAACTTGACAATATATCACAAGGTGTAACCATATAACCACCACCCAGATCAAGAAATAAAGCATGGCCAATATCCCAGTAGTCCTCTGTGCCCTTACTGGTCACTTCCCCTCTCGCCCACTGGTAAGTAAATACTGTTCTGCTTTCTAATAGGTCCTGTGTTTTATGCCTGTCCCACTAGACCAGGAGTAGGCAAACATATAGATTGCAGGCCAAATACTGTCCACTAACATGTTTTGAATGACCAACAAGAATGGCTTTTACTGTTTTTGGTTTTTTTGAAGGTTTTGGGGTTTTTGGTTTTGGTTTTGGTTTTTGAGACAGGGTCCCGCTCTGTCACCCAGGCTGGAGTGCAGTGGTGCCATCTCGGCTCACTGCAACCTCTGCTTCCTGGCTCAAGCAAGCCTCAGGCCTCGGCTTCCGGAGTGGCTGGGACCACAGGTGCCTGCCACCACACCTGGTTCATTTTTGAATTTTTTGTGAAAAATGGGATTTTGCCATGTCGCCCAGGCTGGTCTCGAACTCCTGAGCTCAAAGTGATCCTCCCACCTCGGCCTTGCAAAGTGCCAGGATTACAGGAGTGAGCCACTGCACCCAGCTGGTTTTTACATTTTTAATGGTAAAAAATAAAATCGTGTGACATGTAAAAATTACATGAAATTCAGACTTCGGTTTGAATAAAACTTTTTATTGGAAGACATCCATGCTTCTTTACATATTGTCTATGGCTATATTTGTGCTTTGACGGCACAATTGAGTAGTTGTAACAGAGATCATATGGTTCGCAAAGCCCCAGATACTTACTATCTGGTCCTTCACAGAGTTTGACCACCCCTGCACTAGACTGTAAGCTCCACAAAGATGGGGACCCAATCTCATTAGCTCTTACATCCCCAGGGCTTCATACACTGGCTGGCACATAATGGAAATTCATACAATCGAAAAGTATATGTAGGGCTCCCCATCTAGAGGCAGTATATCTGGTGGTGAAGAGGATGGATTCTAGAGTCAGACAACACTAGGTTTGAATCCCTCTTCCTCCACTTACTAGCTGTATAACGTTGAGAAATTTAATCTCTCCAGGACTTTTTTTCACCATCTGTAACATTCGGGGGAAATATGAACAGTGGCACTTTGTTGTAAACATTAAAATCAGGTGATGTAGCTAAAGACAACTTCCATAAATGCTAGATAAACATTAGCTATTATCATCGTCATCCATATGTATTATGACCGTCTCCCATATGTCTCTATAGATTAGACCTTAGGCCTCTGCAGAGACCTGGATATACTTCTTTCACTCCTGTCACCTCCCTCACCTCTCAGGCCCCAGAAATTCCCAGCCCACATCCTAAGCGAAACAGAAAATGGAGCCTCAAAGCAATCGAGTGACTTGTTCCCAGGATACCCATGGTACAGCCAGATCTGGCACCAGGGCCTGCAGCTGCTGCCCATACCCCAGTCAAGTCAAGATCAATAACAGTGAGTCATTGGTTATGTATTTGGATGGTTTTCATTATGAGCCAGGACTTTGCAACTGGGGCCTTTTCTGCCACTGCATTTCTCAGATGGAGAATTAGCAGTTTGATTAATTACACCCCTAGACCTCAAGGCCATTTCTAAGCTGCTAATGCATTTCCAAGGAGCAGCAATAACATATAGCAAAGCGGTGGGCTGGGGAGCCGCCAAGCCTGCCTCGTGCCAAGAGGGCTGCCTGGATCCAAAATTCCAGTCTATCAGTCAGCCTTCTAGCAGGAAACAGATGGCACACTCAAAAGGGGTGATTGTGGACAGTTTAATGAAGGAGTTTGTATACAGAGGTATGAGCAGGGTGAAGGGAATGGAGAAGCACCCCAGGCTAGCAACAGCTGGAAGCCACTACTACCACAAGCCTGGAGGGAGCTGTTTCAGACTGTTTAGGAACTAGTGGGAGCCTGTAGCTATGGAAAAGGGCGTCTAAAGGAGCTGCGGTCTTTGGTAAAGGAAGGTGTGGTGGAGATGAGTGGGGAGTGCACCTAAAGGAATCAGTGGCCTCTCTGCAGCTGCCTAAGGCCACACCACAGAGGGGCTCTGCAACGGAACAGGGCTCAGGGAATGGCTGTGCCTGTAGCCACACCCCTCTGCCCATCCCACAGGCTCCCATTTGCCGGCAGTTTGTCTCTTTATCAGCAGGGTCAGCACGCCTTTCACCCCATCCAAGGCCTTCACTGAAAAACAAGGCAATTACGTGCTCAGAGAATGACTTGCATGTTCTCAACTGGGTTGACTTGGCAATGTCTGGAGACATTTTTGATTGTCACAACTTGAGTTCCCAGCATCTAGTAGGTAGAAACCAGTGATGCTGCTAAACATCCTATAATGCACAGGACAGCCCCCAACAACACAGAATTGGCCAGATAAAATGTCAGTAGTGACCGGGCACGGTGGCTAATGCCTGTAATCCTAACACTTTGGGAGGTCGAGGTGGGCGGATTGCCTGAGCTCAGGAGTTCAAGACCAGCTTGGGCAACATGGTGAAACTCCATCTCTACTAAAATAACAAAAAATTAGCCGGGCATGGCGGCAGGCGCCTGTAGTCCCAGCTACTTGGGAGGTTGAGAATCGCTTGAACCTGGGAGGGGGAAGTTGCAGTGAGCTGAGATCGTGCCACTGCACTCCAGCCTGTGCATCAGAGCAAGACTTCGTCTCCATTTAAAAAAAAAAAAGTCAGTGGTGCCGAGGTGAGAGACCCTGTTTTCAACTAATGGGTCTGGCCTCCTTCTCTGTCTCTCTGTCAGCCTCCACCTGGGCACTTCCTGGCACCCTCCCAGTCCAGCCCCCAGCTGGGGCAGCTCCTGGCCCTCTCAATACTACCCACTGTAGGCTGAATCTCAATGGTGTCCCCCAGCACCTTGGCCTCTTCCTCTGCCTGGTATTGGCAGTTCCCTTATATTCCCGCCTCATTCCCAGGCTGCAGGCCATCCTTCCACAGCCCCGCCCAGCCCTGACTTCAGGCTCTTCTATCTGCACCCCACCCTCCTCCCATTCCTCTCTGAGGCCATCTGTCCTCCAGACCCTGTTCCCAGAACCCCCTCCAACCCCAGCCCCCTCCCACAAATTCTTCTCTCTCCCAGTGGATGATCCCCAGGTTCACCACTTCTAAACATCACAGAACAAAGCAAACTTTGAACTAGCCAAGGTCACATTCAAAGCTTTTTTTTTTTTTTTTTTTTTGAGATGCAGTCTCTCTCTGTCGCCCAGGCTGGAGTGCAGTGGTGCAATCTTGGCTCACTGCAACCTCCACCTCCCAGGTTCAAGCGATTCTCCTGCCTCAGCCTCCCCAGTAGCTGGGACTACAGGTGTCCGCCACCACACCCAGCTAAATTTTTGTATTTTTAGTAGAGACAAGGTTTCACCATATTGGCCAGGCTGGTTTCGAACTCCTGACCTCGTGATCCGCCCGCCTCGGCCTCCCAGAGTGCTGGGATTACAGGCGTGAGCCACCTCCCCCAGCCTGCTGTTTATACTCTTTCCCCGACTCTGTCCCTGAGGAACCTTCTCCCCTCACTTCCCCTGGAGTTCCCTCCCCACAAAACACACTCACTTTTATCTCACTGATACTGCGGCCTGGGGAACTGCTGAGCCAGTACCTTGCATAGGTTCCTTTGGCTGAGGATTGAGGAAGGCCTGCCAAAAGCAAGCTCACCCTGAGGTCCCCAGGGAGAGGGCACCTTGGTGCGCAGAGCCTGAAGGAAACAGTGGCCAAGGCCATGTGGGGCTGTCCCAATGCCAGGGAGGTCCCAGCCGAGGAAACTGACCCTGATCTTTCTGTGCCCCCTGCTGTCTCCCAGGTGGCCCCTGCACAGTATCCCTCCTCACTCACCTTGTCACCTCCCCTTAGTCCTACCAAGGATAGAGCAGGGGGAAGGACCCAGCTCTTTAGTCCTGAGATGAAGTTGCTGAGGTCCCAACTGACCAGAATGCACAGCCACCATTACCACCTCCCCCAGACACCCCTCAAAACCCAGAAAAGCATGCAAGACAGGTGGACCCCAGACCCCAGGCCTGAGCTCCCCTGCCCCCCTGCCTGCCTGGTGCCTCCACTCTCCAGGTCCGCCACCAGCCACTGAGCCACACCGCCTGGGCCAACAGCAGCAGGAGGGCCAGGGAGGGACGGGGTGGCTGCACTGGCCCGGCCTCATTGCAGCCCCACGAGCTCAGTGATAGGTGGGGCCTGCACCATGAATTCCTCATAGCAATGGAGAAACAGCCGGAAGCGAGCCAGGTACGAGTCCTCGTTGTACGGTAGCTGCTTCTCATGGAGGAACTGGGACACCACGGGCTTCACCTGGTGGAAAATGGGCAGGAGAGGGGCCTATGAGCTGGGGCTGTGGACAGGCCCATCATCCTATGGTGGGTGGCGGGGGGCATCATCTTCCCACCCGCAGCTCCTGTCGGCCTTGTTCCAAGATTCTCCTGAGGAGTAGAAGGGCTTAAGTCAGAGAATTCTTGTCCCCAACCCAGCAGAAGAAAGGAGTGGCTTCTCCCCAACATCCAGGGATCCTGACTGCGTGACAGCCCTCCTTGGCACAGGGGGATAAAAACCAGAGCTCCCTGTTACCAAGCACCTACTGTGTGCCGAACATTTCAGATATATTTCTCCATTTCATCCTCAAAACCTGTCAACATAAGCCCTTCTACTTCCATTTTACAGAAGAGAAAGCTGAGGCCTAGAGGCATTCAGTTCACTTGTCCAGAGTGGCCCTGCTAGTAAGAAACCTGGGTGTCTCTGATCTGAAACCCATACTGCTATGGATATGCTGGGCTGCCCTTCCTGGGTGACCTCTGACCAGGCCAGTTGGGGGACTTGGAGTTCAGGTGAACCCTGAAGGTTCGTCCCTCCCCGCCACCTTTTTTTTTTTTTTTTTTTTTAAAGACAGCGTCTTACCCCGTCACCCAGGCTGGAGTGCAGTGGCGCGATTATGGTTCATTGCAGCCTCAGCCTCCGCAGACTCAGGTGGTCCTCACCTCAGCTTCCAAGCAGCTCAGACCACAAGCATGTGCCCCCACACCTGGCTAATTTTTGAATTTTTTGTAGAGACGGGGTTTCACCATCTTGCCCAGGCTGCTCTCAAACTCCTGGGCTCAAGCCATCTGCCCGCCTCAGCCTCCGAATGTGCCAGGATTACAGGTGTGAGCGACCCCGCTGGGCTGAAGAATCTTCCTTTCCACCCTCTAACAGTCCCTTCATTCCAGCACCCCCAGCCCAGCCCTCGACTACCTTCAGGCACATGTTATCAGAGAGCCTGGGGAAGAGGTGCTGTTCCACATGGCAGCTGATGATCGAGTGGCCAAACGCCCAGTCCAGCACAGGCACCCAGGCCAGGTTAAGCACTCTCAGGCTCATCATGTGTATCCGGCGGGGCTTGTCCCGGGAGAACATGGGCAGCCAATGTGCTGTGACAGACACGTGGGTCACACCGGGTAGCCTGGACCTCCCCACCCCACTTCAGGTGTCCTGGGATCTCATGCTACCCAGAGGATTCTTGTGTCCCCCACCTCCCATGTGGGGGGACCTGGTAGAGGGGTTCCTGGCCCAGCTGCGATGACGACCCTCTCTGTTTTCCGTTCTGAGTCTCATCCATCTCTGGGCCTCCCTCCCCATCTGAACAGTGAGGGGCTTAGCCTGGGCACGTCTCAGGTCCCGTGGTTCCCTAATGCTCTCAACTGCCTACCACTCAGTCTCATCACACCATGCCCTTGCCTCGTCCTGAAGAGACCCTTCCTGCTCTGTTCACCAGTCAAGATCCTACTTATCATTCAAGATCAAGTTTAACAGTGTCGAGTGCTTCCTCTGCCAGGTGCTGTCCTAGGTCAGGAACTCGGAGGTGACCAGGAGCTTCATTGGGTGCAGGACAGGACACAGTTGTGGAATTAAGTAATTAAGTAGTTAACAGCAGTTGTGGTAAGTGCTAGACAAGGAAGTACAGGAAGCTCTACTCTGGGGCCTTCCCTGAGCAGGAAACAGGGAGATGTCCCTGTGGAAATGACACCGGAGCTGAATGCTGAGCCCTGGCCTCCCATGAGGAACTCCATGTCCAGTTCCTCCATCTGCCTCAGGGCAGGCACTGGGGCCTTTATCTCCTACCACTTGGCATCTACGCATCTGCCTGCCTTGGGGCAGTCGCTGAGGCCTTTATCTCCTACCGCTTGGCATCTGCGCATGGAGGGAGGCAGCTGACTATGTTGAAGAAGAGCTCACTTCTTTTTTATTTTTATTTTTATTTTTGTTAGCCAGAGTCTCATTGTGTCCCCCAGGCTGGAGTACAGTGACACAATCTCGGCTCACTGCAACCTCCGCCCCCCAGGTTCAAGCGATTCTCCCGCCTCAGCCTCCCAAGTAGCTGGGATTACTGGGGCTTGCCACTATACCCAGCTAATTTTTGTGTTTTTAATAGACAGGATTTTGCGATGTTGGCCAGGCTGGTCTCCAACTCCTGACCTCAGGTGATCCACCCACCTCAGCCTCCCAAAGTGCTGGGATTACAGGAGTGAGCCGCCGCACCCAGCTGAGAAGCTTGCTTCTTACCTGAAACCGAAACTCTTGAATGATCCTTGGAGTTGGGGGTGGTCAGGAAGGGACGACATACCACAACTGCTGTTAATTACTTAATTCCATAATTGTGTCCTATCCTGCACCAACCCGAAGCTCCTGTTCACCTCTGAGTTCCTAGACCTAACATAGTGCCTGGCAGAGGAAGCACCTGACACTACCTGTGCAATTTGACTGTGAATCATGAGTAGGATCTTGACTAGTGAAGACAGCAGGAAGGGTCTCTCCAGGATGAGGCAAGGGCACAGTGTGATGAGAGCGAGAGGGAGGATGCCTCATCCTTCAGGTGGCCCCTCTCTCCTCAACCTAGAGTCCAGCCTTCAGTCAGGGCCCCTGGAGAATGTCCCCCTTAGCTGCCCAGTGCCCAGGTTGGGGTGGCCTCACCTGGAAGATGTTGACGTGGTGGTAGGGGTGGGCCAACAGGACTGGTGAGGAACATGCAGCCCAGGGCCGAGCTGGGGCTCTTGAAGCCTGACACGTTCAGGAGCAGCCAGTAGTGAGAATAAAGGCCCAGGGAAATCAGGGCCAGCGTCCGCAGGGCTGTCCTGAGCTCCACCTTCCTCAGCCGCTCTGCCGGAAGGGGCAAGACATGGAGGGGACAGGCAAGGCTCAGATCCATCAGGAGCAGCTCTCTGCTGGCTCAAGCATGCTAAGGCGTTGGCGGGGGCACCCTGAAAAGCAGGGTCCCCATTGTGTGGATGAAGAAACAGAGGCCAGGCTTGGTGGCTCAAGCCTATAAACCAAGCACTTTTGGAGGCCAAGATGAGCAGATTGCTTGAGCCTATGAGTTCGAGACCAGCCTGGGCAACATGGTGAAACCCCATCTCTATCAAAGATACACAAAATTTGCTGGGCGTGGTGGCACACACCTGTAGACCCAGCTACTCAGGAGGAGCCTGACCTCCAGGCTTGGGTGATCCTCCCACTTCAGCCCCCTGAGTAGTTGAGACTATGGGTGTATGCCACCTGCAGTGAGCTGAGATTGTGCCACTGCACTCTCTAGCCTGGGCAACCAAGTGAGACTGTTAAAAAAAAAAAAAAAGAGAGAGAAAAGAAAAGAAAAAATGAAAAAAGAAAAACAAAGAAAGAAACAGAAACATTAAGCAATCTGACCAAGTCAAGCCCTGGGATTTGAATCCAGGTCTAGCTGCCCCATCGCCCCTGCCTCCCTCCACTATATGACATGGCTCTCCTGATATCAAAGCTGGTAACAGGAAGTATTATTTCTGCAAAGCAATTTTTTTTTTTTTTTGGAGACACAGTCTCACTCTGTCACCCAGGCTGGAGTGCAGTGGCGCGATCTCAGCTCACTGCAAGCTCCCTCTCCTGGGTTCAAGTGATTCTCCTGCCTCAGCCTCCCAGGTAGCTGGGACTACAGGCGCCCGCCACCACACCCAGCTAATTTCCTGCGTTTTAGTGGAGATGGGGTTTCACCATGTTGCCCAGGGTGGTCTCAAACTCCTAAGCTCAGGTAATCCACCTGCCTCAGCCTCTCAAAGTGCTGGGATTACAGGCGTGAGCCACCATGCCTGAACCCTGCAAAACATTTTTATACCTAGGACCTCATTTTCTTTCATACCGTACTTGAGGAGCAGGTACAGGACCCGAGACTCAGACAGGTTAAATGATCTGCCCGTGGTCCCCAGCTAGTAAGTGGCAGAACCAGACTTAGCTCTGGGTCCGAGGCTCTTTCTACCCTGCCATGCTGTCTCAGCAAGAATCTATCAGGCCTTCCTCTATAAGCAGCCTCCATGAAGCCAGGCAGGGAAAGAGAGCAGGAGAACCAGGTCCATGCAGGGCACTGCCGACTTGGGCTCTGATGGCACTCACCGACAGCCACCAGTGGAGTGACGATGGGGAGGAGGAAAGGAGCAAGGAACATGTAGACACAGCGGTTGAGATAAGGCAGCCTCCACGTGCTGGAGTCCCCCAGGCCCACCACGTTGGTGTAGGTATGGTGCATCTTGATGTGCCCATGCATGGTGTGCTCTGCAGTGAAGATTGTGCACACCTAGAGGAGGGAACCAGAGACGACACTGGGGTCCGTGTCAGGCACAGTTGAGCAATGCAAGACCTTTGAGAGCCTGAAGAACACCCCCACTTCCTCAAACCCTGCATGTCCAGGGCCATCCTGCCTTATAGCCCCAGCTAATCAGCTTTGACCATCAGCTCTTAGGTATCTATGACCACGGAGTGACAGTCAGTCAATACAATCGCGTCTGTTTGGTGAGGCTCTGCAAAGCATTTGGGGGTGGGAGGCTGGACCCCTGGAGTGCCAATCTGCCAGTGACTGCCCAAGCAACGAGTCTCAGAGGCTATCGTCATTGGAGGCACTGCAGGTGATGATCCCGGCCATCTGATGTAATGATTTTGTGTGTGTTTCTCTTAGAAACATCTGCTCCTTCATAACACTGAGCACTCTGAGCCCGGAGCAGCAGCCAGGAGGGGCTGCAGGAGTGGTCTGAGAGTGCAGGACACCATCCCCAGAACAGTCCACAACGTGGGAGCGGTGCCCTGATGGGGGCCAAGAGCTTCTCCCTAGAGGTGACTCTTCAGCATGGATCCCCAGTGGGATTCTCCGAAGCCGCTGGGAGCAGCAGCAAGCGCTCTGACTCCTGGAAGAGGCGTCAGTCTGGAATGCAGAAGCCACGCTAAGGTGTTTCTTAAGCAGATACCTGCAAATGGATGCAGATGTAAGCCTCTTCCGATATTTTATCTAGGACAGAAAATGTGCCTAATTTTATTGAAGGTGCTGCCTAACTGTTTCTGGAACGACGTGAAAAGTTTCCCAATACCAGTCGCTGCAAGCCAGGTAAAGACAGCAGCACACCCCGCAGAGGGCTCACTGCACCAGGCTCCACGCCCGGCACTCGCACACTTCCTGAGGGCGGTGGCAGATGACTACATGCTGCTGAGTTAGCTGGAAAATGGATGGTCCTGCTGAAAAAGATCATTTATTTTATTTTTTTGTTTTGAGACGGAGTCTCGCTCTGTTGCCCAGGCTTGAGTGCAGTGGTGAACCTCCACCTCATGGGTTCTCGGCTCATGGCAAACTCCGTCTCCCGGGTTCTCCTGCCCCAGCCTCCCGAGTAGCTGGGACTACAGTTGCCCACCACCACGCCTGGCTAATTTTTGTATTTTTAGTAGAGACAGGGTTTCACCATGTTGGCCAGGCTGGTCTCAAACTCCTGGTTCATGGGATCGATCCACCCACCTCAGCCTCCCAAAGTGCTAGGAATACAGGTGTAACCCCAACACTTTAGGTGACCAAGGCGGGCAGATCACTTGAGGTCAAGTCTGGTACTGTGCTGCTTCCCACAGCCTTTGTCCATACATTTGTTCTGTCTGAAGCCACCTTCTTGCTCCTTAGTTTGGCCAACTCTGTCCTGATAGCATCTCCCCTGGGAACTTTCCCTGGAGTTTCTCAGTCGTGCATGATTCACACTTGGGACTCAGGCACTTTTTGTGTCAGGGACTGTCCTGTGCACTGTAGGACATTTAGCAATATCCCTGGTCTCTACACACTTGATGCCAGTAGCATGCGCACACACACACAAACACACACACCACTCTTTTCCTTTTTTTTTTTTTTTTTTTTGAGACAGACTTTTACTCTATCGCCCAGGCTGGAGTATATGAAGTATAGTGATGAAATCTTGGCTCACAGAAGCCTTGAACTCCTAGGCTCAAGCAATCCTCCTGCCTTAGCCTCTCCAGCTTCACAAGTAGCTTGGACTACAGGTGCACACCACCACATCCAGCTAATTTTTGTTTTGTTTTGTAGAGACAGGCTCTCTCTGTGTTGCCCAGGCTGGTCTCAAACTCCTGGGCTCAAGTGATCCTCCTGTCTTGGCCTCCCAAGGTGATGGAAGCCACTGAGCCTGGCCCACACCCCCATCTTGATAGCCAAAAATATCTCCAGACACTGTCCGATATCCCTGCCCTGCTCTTCCCACCCTGAGCTCTCAGAGCTTTCACTCCACCCTGGTCGATGCCCTCATCACATTCTGCCTGCCCCAGTCACCTACCAGCTGGCATGGCATTGCACAGTGGCTTAACCTCCCGGATCAGTGTTTCCTCATCTACAAAGTGACAATAGCTTCACCCTCGTAGGGAGGTGTGACTCTGAAATGAGGTAATTTACATAAAGGATGCAGGAAGCAGCCAGTAAGCATTAGCTAGTGCGATCAGGATTTATTATTATTATTTTGAGATGGAGTCTTGCTCTGTTGCCAGGCTGGAGTACAGGGGCACAATCTCGGCTCACCACAACCTTTACCTCCAGGGTTCAAACAATTCCCCTGCCTCAGCCTCCTGAGTAGCTAGGACTACAGGCACGCGCCACCACGCCTGGCTAATTTTTTTTTTGTATTTTAGTAGAGATGGGATTTCACCACGTTGGCCAAGATGGTCTCGATCTCATGACCTCGTGATCTGCTCTCCTCGGCCTCCCAAAGTGCTGGGATTACAGGCATGAGCCACCGCGCCCGGCCAGGATTTTTTGTTGTTTTGATGTCATTTGTATGTGTCTCTTTTGCACTTGACTCTGAGTCCCTGGGCAACTGGAACGGGGTCTTATTCACAGTATGTCCCCAGCATCTATTGGAGCATGGTGTAGGTGGAACTGGGACACCACACACAAACACACACACACACACACACACACACAGAGACAGAGTACCAATGTCCATTTCCTTGGTTTTGATATTGAACGACACTTAGATAAATGTGACTATTGGGCCAAACTGGATGAAGGCTACACCAGACTTCTCTGTCCTATTTTTGCAAGGCCTGTGAATCTATAATTTTTTTTTTTTTTTTTGAGACGGAGTCTCGCTCTGTTGCCCAGGCTGGGGTGCAGTGGCCGGATCTCAGCTCACTGCAAGCTCTGCCTCCCGGGTTTATGCCATTCTCCTGCCTCAGCCTCCCGAGTAGCTGGGACTACAGGCGCCCGCCACCTCGCCCAGCTAGTTTTTATGTATTTTTTAGTAGAGACGGGGTTTCACCGTGTTAGCCAGGATGGTCTCAATCTCCTGACCTCGTGATCTGCCCGTCTCGGCCTCCCAAAGTGCTGGGATTACAGGCTTGAGCCACCGTGCCCGGCCAAATCTATAATTATTTTAAAAATAAAAAGCGTTTTACAAAAGTATATTTTTGTACTGCAAATCTGAGTTTTCCCTCCAAATAAATATTAAAGATTAAAAAAATAAGAAGTCGTAGTTGAACTTAGGCAACTGTAAAGGTAAACTGAGGCTGGAGCCAAACCGGGAACGAAGACACAAGGCAAATGGCAGTGAGAATAGCCTTTTATTAGGACTCGCGGGCGCGGTTCCTCGGTCCAAAGGCGTGGGCCAAGGAAGTGGCGCTGAGGGAGGAGGGTAGGGGCTTCTTATAGCCCGAGAGGTAGGGAAGCTGGTTGTGCAAACAGGGCCTGGGGGGGTCTTGAAACTACTAGGGCAGGAGATGAGTAAGGGTCATGAGGAAGGGGTCTTTGGAAACTGTCAACCGAAACTGCTGTTTACGAACTTGTGGAATGCAGGTGAGCTGCAGGTCATGGGGGAGTGTGGTTGCCCAGCCAGAACTCTGACGCATGTAGGTCTGCTGGTGTGTACAAGGGTGAAGGGAGTCTTTAACAAAAGGCCTGCTACGCCAGGTAACGCCGCCATGTTGGGTCTAGATTCCTGCCTAACAGCAACAACCCTCGAGGTTTGCGTGGGAACAGGCAGAGAGAAGGTTGGAGAGACAGCTCAGAGGGTAATGACCACACTGAACTTCCGTGAGAAGAGAACGTTCCAGGATCACGACTTAGGTGGGGGGAGGGCGGTTCCTGACCCTGTTTCCACCCCCACGAGAGCCCTAAAGGAAGCTGATGGCATTCCCCTATGAGGCACCCCTCCCCCAGGGCAGAGCTCCGGTCCAACAGCTGTGGTTCCACCCCTGCAGCCCGAAGCCCACTTCACAAGGAGGATTTGAAGAGGAGACCCTGGAGCTTAGGAACTGGCAAGGTCTGTTCCCTCCCACTCAGGGGGGCATCTTGGATTGTGAGTGACATGCAGGAGAGTCCCTAAAGCCTTCTGATTTCAGGAGTTAATCTTTCCCAAGCTTCGGGGCTTAAATTACGGGGGCCTGCCCAGCCCACACTGCCCCCCACCTTCCCGTGGCCATCTGAGCACAGCACAGTGCCCCTCATTGGCATTCCCCGAGAACACGCCCGGCAGTCCCCATGGTGATCCAAGACAGGGCTGGGCAGGCAGTCTCGCTGGGGAAGGCCAGGGTTATCAGTGGCAGGAGAGAAGGTCAGCGTGAGGCTACCTGGAGGGATAGAACTTTCCTATGTGGAACACAAATGGGTCTTCGGAGGTTGGATACTTTAGGAGAGAAACAACAGCCTGGAGTGGAAGCCTCCGCCTCCAACCTGTCTGCCCCTCCCCCAGATCCCACGGCCTAGCCTGGAGCTGATAAACCCTGAGACAAGCCCAGCAAAAGCTGGGCGCCCAGGAGAGCCAATGATACTCAGTCAATGCCTGAGGCTGCAGCATTTGCCAAACGCCAAAAGGAGCCCAGGGCCTATGGCTGCATTATTCTGCAGTGATGATGTCTCCTGAGCATCAAGGTTTGGGAAAAGCACAGATACTCCACAAGGAAGGATCCTAACAGAGAAGGCACCAAGACATGGGAGGAGAGTCAGAGATCCAGGAAGGTTCCCGGGGCATCCTCTGAGGTCCCAGGCAGCAAGAACATGTCCTCTGCGCCCGGCAGAGGCCCAGAGGACACAGCACCTAACCCCCCAACATATACACAGCCCCATTGAGATTTGCAACCTTGCAGTTAAACAAACAAACAAACATGACAGGCCGGGCGCAGTGGCTCATGCCTGTAATCCAGCACTTGGGGAGGCTGAGTCAGGTGGCTCACCTGAGGTCAGGAGTTCAAGACCAGCCTGGTCAACATAGTGAAATCCTGTCTCTACAAAAATACAAAAAAAAAAAAAAATTAGCCGGACATGATGGCGGGTGCCTATAATCCCAACTACTAGGGAGGCTGAGGTAGGAGAATCACTTGAACCCTGGAGGTGGAGGTTGCAGTGAGCCGAGACCGTGTCATTGCACTCCAGCCTGGGCAACAGAGCGAGACTCAGTCTCAAAAAAAAAAAAAATGACAAATAAAGCAAACAACAACTGCTAACCCTTTCCTTGCAGCTGACCACGTCAACTCCAGAGAAAGAAAGTGAAGATCATACTGGTGGAGCGTGTCAGCACCAGGCCCTCTGTTAAGGTCTGTACTGTTTCGTTTAATTCACATGCTGGCCTCATGAGGGAGGTCATGTTATTTCTCCTGCTTATCAGGTGAGGAAACTGACACTTAGATGTTGAATTAAGTAACTTGCTCAAGGTCTGGGCAGCCAGTGGGGCTGGGATTCCAACCATGGCTTCAAAGGCTGGTCTTGAACTCCTGACCTCAGGTGATCCTCCCGCCTCGGCCTCCCAAAGTGCTGGGAGTACAGGCGTGAGCCCCAGACACTGCCACCCTGTGTGGCAGACAAGACCAGCACCCTCCTCCAGCAGTGCACTTGCCTCACCAATGCCAGCCAGACTGGGGAGACAGGTACGCCCCTTCCCCCACACTGGGAACTGGACCCTCCCCAGAGGGTAGCTGGAGGGCACCTGTGGGATGAAAAAATCAAGACGCATCTCACTCTCCCATGTAGGTTAGTCAGAGGCTTGAGTGATAAACTACTCGGGCCCTGTTCCTCAGCCCACTGCAGTCCACCAGACAGGGGTGATGACACGAGGCAGGAGCCAAGCCTTCCCTCCCCAGCTTCGAGGGGGCTGGCAGGCCTGAACCTGGTTCCCTGGACAACTGCAGGGTCATCTCAGCAAATATTGATGGAAGAATATTGCCAAGAGCTCAAGTCTGTGCCAGGAACTGAAGAGTCAAAGAGGCACAGATGAAGCCACTGGGTTTACAGGGACAAGACAGCATTCACAAGCAGAATACAGCCCTGAGGCTACTGGGGTATCTCATGCGTGCTGGGTATCGGCTAGAGCACTCCAGTAGAGAAGCCCAGGAAGGCTTCTCAGAGGAGGTGTCCTTGGCCTCCTGCATTCATTTGGCACACATGATAGCTACTGTGTTGGTGTAGCACTTTGGTGGGTATCAGATTCACCTGTAGAACTTGGTAAAAACACAGTGGCCTGACTCCTCTTCTCCAGCAAGCCTGGGCCTCCAGATCGTTCTGCTACACACCAAAGTTTGAGAAGCACTAGATCACCTCTGTGCAATAAATCCCTTACAGCCAAGCAGTCCCAAAGTCTCAGTGCCTGGTCCTCATTCTCAGCTGCCTCCAGGCTCCTGGTACTCAGTACAGCATTTATTTATTTATTTATTTATTTATTTATTTATTTATTTATTTATTTTTTTGAGACACAGTCTCACTCTATCTCAGCCTCCCGAGTAACTGGGACTACAGGCGCCCGCCACCACGCCCGGCTAATTTGTTGTATTTTTAGTAGAGATGGGGTTTCATCATGTTAGCCAGGATGGTCTCGATCTCCTGACTCGTGAGCTGCACCTCGACTCCCAAAGTGCTGGGATTACAGGTGTGAGCCCACCGCGCCGGCAATGTTTTGTTTTCTTAAACTGGGTTCTAGTTAACCTTGAGTGTTCAGTTTGTAAAACTTCACCATTGCTATACCTGCTTAGGGTACGATGCCATTCTTTCTGTTCTATAGGTGTTATATTTTAGATTACAACAATTTATATTTTCTTTTTTTTTTTTGAGAGCGAGCTTCGCTCTGTCGCCCCAGGCGTAGAGTGAGTGGCCCTGGGATCTCAGGCTCACTGCAAAGCCTCCGCCCTCCTGGGTTCCGCCCTCTCCTGCCTCAGCCTCCCGGAGTAGCGGGACTACAGGCGCCCGCCACCATCGCCCGGAACTATTTTTGGTATTTTTCAGTAGGACGGGGTTTCACCATGTTAGCCAGGATGGTCTTTGCTCCTGACCTCGTTGATCCGCCCATCTCGGCCTCCCAAAGTGCTGGGGATTACAGCTTGAGCCACTGTGCGCTGGGCCAACAATTTTATATTTTCAATTGGTAATCACTTTTTTAAATTTGTATTTATGTATTTTGAGATGCAGGCTCATTCTGTTGCCCAGCGGATGGGTGGCAGTGGTGCAATTCGGCCTCACTGCACACTCTTTCTTTTCCGATTCTCCTGCCTCAGCCTCCCCCAGTAGCTGGGATTACAGGCATGTACCACCACGCCCAGCTAATTTTTTTGTGTGTTTCGTGTTTCTATTAGAGACGGGGTTTCACTTTGTTGGCCAGGCTGGCTCGAACTCCTGACCTCAAATGATTCGCCCACCTCGGACTCCCAAAGTGGTGGGATTACAGGCGTGAGCTACCTTGCCCAGTCGGTAATGCCTTTTGTAGAGGTATAAATCAGAAGGTAAAATCACCCCTAAACCCAGCACAGTGGAGCATGGGAAGGCAGCGTGGGGCTGGCCTATGAGTTCCCTTGGCCATGGGATCGGCATGAGTGTGGGTGGGTGGCAGAGCAGCCAACCTACCCCTGCCAGCTGCCCCCAGAGTCTGAGTGACAGCCCCCAACTCCTCTCTATCCCTCTGTCATCTTGTCCTGACCTCTTAGCCATTGGTACCCCCATCCCTGCTTCGGGATCCTGCTCACAAAGTGAGGCTGAATTGTCAAGCCTGGGACGAGGTGCTTTGGACGGCAGGCCTGCACTCACTGGGGCTCCCTGCTTCCGTGTTTCCCAACAGGCCCTGGAGGCCTAGTAAGCAGGCCTAGGCAGGCTCCTTAGCTTCTGCCCACAGTGGCAGAAACAGCCAGGGGCTGCCGACTCTCCCAGCTACCCTCCCCCAGACTTACCTTTACCCCCACCCAAGTCCTCATCTGTCTGCACAAGACTCAGCATATGTGAAGAGCACAGCGGGGTTTTGGAGTCAGGCACGCTTAGTAGCTGTGTGACCTTGCATGAGTTACTCAACCTCTCTGAGCCTTGGTAGTTTCATAGGCACTAAAAAACAGACTTTTAAAGAAGTGAGATAGGCCAGGCACGGTGATTCACGCCTGTAATCCCAGCACTTTGGGAGGCTGAGGTGGGCAGATCACAAGGTCAGGAATTCGAGACCAGCCTGGTGAAACCCTGTCTCTACTAAACATATAACAACAACAACAAAATTAGCCAAGCGTGGTGGCGGGCGCCTGTAATCCCAGCTACTCGGGAGGCTGAGGCAGGAGAACTGCTTGAACCTGGGAGGCAGAGGTTGCAGTGAGCTGAGATTGCGCCACTGCACTCCAGTCTGGGCAACAGAGCGAGACTCCATCTCTAAATAAATAAATAAATAAATAAATAAATAAATAAATAAATAAATAAATAAGTGAGATAAATGTGAATGGGAGTTTACCATTTTCTTCCTGTGCCCCAGTGGATTGATGTGCACACCCACACTGGAGACCACTCCAAACTTCTGACAATCATAAGGTCTTTTAGATCTTAGGCTATCAAAGTAAAGTAGTCTGGAGCCTAAGGTCTAAATTGCTCGGCTTGGCATTTGAAGGCCTCCAAGTTCCAGCTCCATCTCCAAATACCCTCCCGCTTGGGCTGGAGTGACTGCTCACTGATCTCTGACCCACGGATAAGTGCTGCCCTTTCTCCCCTCCAGGTCTTTCTTCCCAGGGTAACTGTCTCTACTCCTATCCCCCAAGCAAGCTCCACCCATCCTCTGGGTTTCTGGCAACATCAGCCGCCACTGCAAAGCTCTTCTAATATTTTCGTGTATTTCATTCATCCTATTTTACTGAGCACCTACTATGTACTAGGCACTCCACCTTTCACCGTTCATCCTTCCCCTCCTCTGACCTCATACCCACTACCAGCTAGTGGTATTGGTGGTATTGGTATAGACGTCACACATTACCTCACAATGAGCACTCCTGGACACTGTGATCCAGCCACAGGATTCAAGCTGTTCCCCTGCGTGCACTGTCTGCTTGTATCAGTCAGGATAACCAACATTAGCTGTTATAACAAACAACCCCAACATCTCAGTGGCCAAACACAATACAGATTTATTCTTGCTCACATCACCGTCCAATTTCAGGTTCCTTACATCTGTGATGCCTCCTCCAACACAGGGCTGCCACAGGATTGCCAGGGGATGGGAAAGGAGAGCATGGGAAGGTAGTTTTAGGTCCAGGTCTGGAAATGGCACACATCACTTCCATCCACACTCCACTGGCCAGAATCCAGGTATATAGTCCCAGCCACAGGCCAGCTTGGAACTGTGGACTTTCTGTGTATCCAGGAAGAAGAAGTCGCATAAAGGAGTGTATAGCCAGCCTCTTCCCTGTAACCAACTGCACTGTGAGCTTCCAAAAGGCAAGGATCCTTCCCACGCCTTCCTGATGTCTCCCTGAATCTCCTCCATAACTTCCAATCGGCCTGCTTCCCAGTGCATATCACCCACCCATCATGCCCAGCACACTGCCCTGTAACCCAGCCGGTTCTCAGTATTTACCAGCTGAGGGATAGACTAGTGTGAGCTGAAACAGGCTGACTGAAGGAGAAGAGCATAGGACTTGGTGGAGAGACAGGTCCTTCCTGTTCTTTGGACGACACAGCTTCCCAGACCTCACGCTGTGCTTGGCACATAGTAGGTGCTCAGTAAGCGTTTGCTGACTATGTGAATAGACAGACGCATGGAATGATGAGGAGAACAGGCCCAAGAGAATGAAGAAGGCGGTAAAAGGTTGGAAAAAGTATTCAATGGTGGAAAAGACTCGGGTCCAAAGTCAACACAAACATGCCTTCCCAAACCCTACCTGGATGGGGAGGTGGTGCCCTCCTCCCCAGCCCCAACAGACTGGGGGCATCTGGGCCTACTCAGGCCACAACAGTGGGGCAGGATGTGTCAGATGAGCCAGGGCTTGGCCTTCCTGGGCCCTCTGGAGTTCCCCATCCTGGGGCAGTGATGATCCCTCCTTTCTGTGATTTGGATCTTTATTTGTTGGGGTTCACTGGGGTTAATTATTGTTGTGGTTGGGTAGGGTGGTGGGAAGGGCCCCACCCTGGCCCAGGGCCTGGAGGAGAATCCCAAGTGTCAGATGAGTCTGGAGACCTGGAGGGCTGGTACCAGGGCTCAGGGGTGGCACTGGATGGCTTAAGAAGGTGCCTCCTGCCAGCAATTTAACCGTCTCTATGCCCCGAGCCTAGGTGGCTGAGTCTTTAACCCTTCCTTGTACCTCTTCCATTCATGCCACCCTCCCAATCATCAAAGCCCGAGTGAGGCCCAGCTCCATAAAGCAACTGGCATTATTCACAGGGGTGGGGCTGGGCAAGCTGCAGGAGAAGTGGCCTGGCCTGTGGCTCAGATCCTGGCCAGCTGGGGTTGGGACCGGCACCCTGAGATACCCTGGCTCCAGTAGGGCAGGGCCACATCTGCTGCATCTCAGCATCAGCCACACCTCTTAGGACCCTTGGCCTTCTGCTGCGACCCCAAAGCCTGCATCTGGTGCTCCCAGGCAGCTGCTTTCCTGTGGGGACGAAGCCAGGTTAGTAGTGGCCCAGCGAGGCAGGGCAGGGGAGGGACGGGAGGGATGGAGCGAGCCAGCCTCTAGCTGGCAGGGGCTTGCTGAGGCACCAAGGGCTCTCAGCCTCTCCTCACCTTGCAAGAAGGGAAACTGAGGACTGAGCCCCAGGGTTACTCTCCTAGCTGCATAGCAAGTTAGATCCTTGGCAACCCAGGGCTGGGGTTGTGAGCAGTGTAGACACTGTGCCATCTGGTCTCTCCTCTGCGTCAGATCAGCACCACAGGCCCTTGTGTGAGTGGCTTCGGGATGTAGATGAGCCTAAAGGATGTGTGTTGGGCCTGGTGGGACCAGTGCCAGAGCTGGGAGGGGAGTGAAGGCTGTGATTCCTGCACAGTGCGAAGGCACCCAAAACAGAGTCTAGAGCAGGACTCTGGATCAGACACGCCCAGGTTCTAGTCCTTGCTGTGTGACCTTCAGTAAGTCTTTTAACCTCTCTGAGCCTCGGTTTTCTGAGAGGGTGATTTGGAGTGGATGAGGGTGATGCTACCCACGTCATCGGATCACCGGGGAGAGCAATGACATCATTTCTGTACTGTGGATATCGTGGGCCACGGCAGGGCACGTGCTCGTGGTAGATGTCACTATATCATAGTGTTTTCATAAATATAACATGATTGTGATGATTGTGACACTGAGTTGTTTAATTTAAATCTAGCATATATTGCTACTGATAATAACAATGATAAATTGTTTTGGTTTCCAGCAGGAAAGGAGCCGGAACATGCACATGCTCTATTTCCTCTCCTCT